GAGATAATGTGATTATATCTTATAAATATGTTTTTATCTTTCCCTTTTCTTCATTCTCATTGTCCTTGCCTGTCCTTCCTGTATTAACCCCACCCAGAGTGGTCTCTCCAAAAGCAATAAGAATAGATCTTTGTCAAAGATGAATCAGATCATGCTACTTCTCCCTCTTCTACTTTAAAACCTTTTGTGATTTCTTATTTCTTAAGTATAAAATTCACAGTTTTTAACAGAGTTTACGAAAGTCTATAAGATTTTGCTCTATGTAATTCTGTTGTTATTGTTTAGTCACTAAGTCGTGTCTGAGTCTTTGTGTCCCCATGGACTGTAGCCTGCCAGGCTCCTCTGTCCATGGAATTTCCCAGGGAAGAATACTGGAGTGGTGGCCATTCTCTTTTCCAGGGGATCTTCCCAACCCAGGGATGGGACCTGTGTCTCCTGGTTTGGCAGGCAGATTATCACTGAGCTACTTAGGAAGCCCATGTCATTTCTACATCCCTCTGAACTTTCTTTATCTAACCACTTTGAGCTTCTTAGTTTCACTGCTTGTGTAATACATTGCCTTTTCTTGGAAAGATGAAAGGTTTAAGGAATAACATATTTAAGTTGGAGGGAAGCAGCCAAAATCAGGACCTCAGTTGTAGCCATGTCCAGTTTTAGATGTCTATTCGCCTTCCAAGTGGAGATATCAAGTAGGCCACTGTATGTACACAGTTCGACTTTGGGTGAGAGGCCTGTTTGGAGATATAAATGGAGCTGGCACAAAAAGGGTATTTTAAAGTCATGGGATGGAAAGTGTTCACCAAGGCCAGAGTCCTCTGCCTTTAGTCCGTTCACTGTTTTCTTTTCTTTTTTTAAGTCTCTGAGAATCTACTTATAAGTCAGGATTGAGCTTCTGCATCCTTTGCCCAGTGAAGACTTGCTCTGCTGTTTCATGTATGGTCATTGTACCACACTCTTCATGTAGCATCTGACATGTTCTGTTGCAATTGCTATTTTTTAAAATAGGTTTTCTTTTGCAGCTAGACCAGAATTTTTTTTTTATGGAGCCAGCACCATATCTTATTTTCCTTTGTAACTCTGGTATAGCAGATGCTTAATAAGCATATCTTAAATAAATGATTACAAAGTGACTTAAAATATGTTCAAGTGATCAAGTCTAGTCTGTTGGGGCTAAGGAAAGACTGCCTACACTGAGTCTGCCTGCTATGCTTAAGGGAATTGCCTGTAAATCATGTGCTCTGTATTGAGGCAGAGTAAAAATTGAGTACAATAAGTAGTATTTAAGTTTTTAAGATTTCTTTGATATCTATATCTTATAATAAAAACCACACTGAAGATTTGAGAACTTCAAATATTTCTATTTTGCATTAAATGCAGCTGGACAGGAAACCATTTAATTCAATGCATGTTCTTTTCACTTGTTTTTAAAGCTATTATTTGTTTTTATTGTATTAGTGAAAGAAAATGTTTATTTTTTATTTTTTTGAGTATTTCAAATATTTTCAGATTGTTAGTTTTATAGCTTGGCCTTGTCAGAAGAAAAATTAGATGAAAGTTCTAATTTTATAGATTACTCAACCTTTAAGTAGCTGATTCAAGTGAATTGTACATTCTCTTCAATCTTTTTCTTTGGGGAGGTACTCATATTTTCATTGATTTGTAAGAGTTCTTTACATATTAGATGAAATATATGAAACATTTTTTGTAGGTCAAAAACAGTGAATATCCACAACTTCATACAGTTCAACTTAAATCATATATTTTATGTTAGTTGCCAAGGTTTTTCCCAGTTTGTTTGTCTCTTGTTCTTTTTACTATGATGTATTTTTAAAGCATATAACAAGTTTAAAACCTTTTTGTGGTTTAATTTAGAGATCCTTTGCTTTGTAGTTTCCTCTGTTGCTTTCTCACAGCAAAGTTCTTTCCATTTCAAGGGCAGATAAATATTTTTGTAGTTTCATATTTTTAAATTTAACTTTTAAAATCCATCTGGAATTTTGTTTGAATGTATTGTTAGGGCCAGGATCTGTTTACTGAATGATGAAACAATTACTTTCAGATTCCTGAGCTAGCTCTATTGTTTAATTTCATGCTCCATTGCTAAAATCACAAAATTATTGTGTCCTAGTAATATAACATCTTTGACCTTGAGTCCTCATAAAACATGATTCTGGTTCCTTGGTTTTGCTGATGTATTTCAAGGACCAGTAATAATCCTGAGACTTAATTTGGCAGTGTTAACTCTACTTTAAATGTGTAAGTAATGGGGTACACAATACTTCATTTACTTGATGACATCTTCCAGCATAAAATTCTGTCACTCACAAAACTTTACACATTGTCACATGGACAATAAATATTGTGTAAGAAGATATTTTTTAAGTAGAAAGATTTTTTAAAATACCTTGATTTTTTACATAAAAAAATCAAGATGTTTAAAAATCTTATTTTTCTATTTAAATTGGACTTTATACTTAAGGTGGGCTTAACTTTAGAAATGATATACATGTATATTAAAAATTTTCCTTGGTGTTTAAGATAATGAGTGATGATATTACTTATTTATTAAGTAGTACTATAGGCCTGTGTCAAACTGCCTGTCCCATCATAGACAGAAATTTCATTGATTTATTCTAAAGTTTTTAGAGCTTGTATTAGTGTTCCTATGGAATAAAACATGCGATGTTAAATGAATTCAGCTATTCTAAATTTTTGTTATTGTATGTAATGGCTCTAATGCCATCGATAAGAAAAAAGTAAATTGCTTAAGTTTTATAATTTAGCGTGAAGACATTCTGGAGACCGTTGGTAAGCTCTTTCAGTAAGGAAAGATGCTGGCTCCTCTCTTTTCCTTTTGAACACCTCAAAACATCAGTAAAGAATTTTTTCTTTTTGAGACACTGAAGAAAATATGTGTATATACCACTATCAAACTCTGTCTGAACTCAGAAACTTAATAGGTTCAGATAAATTTTTAGATAAATCCCTGGGTTTAAATTATTGCTTTTTGCCATCTAAAACAGTGGGATGTAACTGATTCTCTAATAAGCTATCCAGTTCAAAGACCAAATAAATTTGGATAGCAAGATATACTTATATTGGCTCATGCTAGGTTTCCTTTATAATGGACCACTCAAAGGGTGAAGATGAAATGGATATAACCCTTCTGGATTCAAAGAGGTGATGATTACCACATTATCTGAGAACCTCTGCCTTTTAGTCTGCTAGTGTTTCCTTAGGACTTACTGTGTTCCCAGACTTTAGTAGGTCTGAGTAGAATGGGGAACAGACCAGCTCAATAGGGACAGAGGTTTGCCCTCTTGAAAGGAGTTTGTCCGAGCTGGAAGTTAAGATTTCTGAGGCCACTAGGTGGCTTCAGTTGCCTGAAAAGGTCAGGTCCAGAGGCTCTGTAGGGGTGAAGACATTTTATTTTAGGAAAATAATTTTATTTGGGAATATTTATTTTCTGAGCTAGATTGGCAGAACAAGTTTGTTCGACTTAAAGACCTTTGAGGATCACCTGCTTCACCTTCTCATTTCAGAAATAAGGGCATTTAGGAAGACTTGACCAAGTTGACTCAGCTATGTTGGGCAGAGTTAGAGCTAGAACCTGAATATCCTTTTAGCTTTTAGCTAGTTTTTTAATCTGTTGAATCAGTGATCCCAATCTATTTTTTATTATTATGAAGTCATAGTACAGAATTATGTATAAGCCCTGGAGAGAGATTGTGTAAGAATATTATGTTTAAAACAGATGGTGAAGTTGCTGGTGGCCACCTTATGGGATGGGTTGAGCAATGATAGTGTTTACTCTTAGTCAAGCTGAACTTTTAGATTAATGAGCTACATTTTGTCATGACCAAAAGAATTTAAAAATTCTTATTTGTTCTGAATGAGTTCTGCTGCTACTGCTGCTAAGTCGCTTCAGTCGTGTCCGACTCTGTGCGACCCCATAGATGGCAGCCCACCAGGCTCCTCTGTCCCTGGGATTCTCCAGGCAAGAACACTGGAGTGGGTTGCCATTTCCTTCTCCAATGCATGAAAGTGAAGTGAAAGTTAAGTCGCTCAGTTGTGTCCGACTCTTCGAGACCCCATGAACTGTAGCCTACCAGGCTCCTCCGTCCATGGGATTTTCCAGGCAAGAGGACTGGAGTGGGTTGCCATTTCCTTCTCCATTTCTTTGGAGACGGAATGAGTCCTAGACCTTTATATATCCTAACTCCTTTTCTTCAGGTGAATAGCAACATATTTTTTTTTCAAGTTATTGTATCTCTCCAGTTTTCTGTTGGTTTTGATTAATATTTAACCTTTATAACAGGGTTGGAAAACTTTTGTAAAAATCAAAGGCCAGTAGAAAACACAACAAACAAAGTCATTATATATCAGTTCAAAATGACTCCTGACAATATTGAGTTTCTTTCCCTCTGGGCAGGGTCGGGAGGAAGCAAATGGTATAATTTCATCTACTTCTATAGTAAGTTCAGGAAAACATACAACCTTTACTTTTAAACATTTATGCTTAAGTTATCTATAATTTATATATTATGGCTATTTCTAGAGAATAACAGAGATAAGGGAGGCTTTAAGAAAGACAAAAAGAGTGAAAGGGTAGGGAGGAAAAGAGATAATCAGGGTGATAAGAGTGATGGGGAAAGAGCTAGTAAGAGAGAAAGGGAGACTTCTATCTAAAAGTGAAGGGGGGAAAAAAAAAGTGAAGGGAGAGAGAACAGACCAGAGAGCTCCTTGAGTAGGAGTGCATGTGAAGGAAGCCATGGCGAGTGGACCTGGGGAGGGAGGGGGAGCATATGTCCCAAGGGCAGAGAGAAGCAAAAGGAAAAGAGAAGGAAAAGAAAAGGGCCCACATTTCTTTTCATGGCCTCCTCCATTTTCTTAGTGGTATGCTGAAGCTGAATTGAATGAAAGTGTAGTTGGTCAAGTCTACATCCATTAAACATATTTTAATTATGTCTCATTTTCTCTTCCTTTTTTTTTTTTTCAAGTGATTTAAAGGGAGTGATAGTCACTCTGAGTGATGAAGGTCACTTGCAGTGTTCATACCTGGGGACAGATCCTTCTTTGTTCCAAGCTCCAAAAGTTGAATCTAGAGAACTAAACTATGATGAACTTGATAAGGAGTTGAAAGAACTTCAGAAAGTCATCAAAAATGTTAACAAATCACAAGGTATCTCATTTTCAGCTTTCTATTACAATATTCATTGTGAAATTTATATTATTTTGTATATGGATAGTATTTTATACGTGTTGATTTTCTCCCCCAGGCTTAATTAAAGTCATTTTTGTAAAAACAGCACTGCTCTTTAACATACTAGTCTTTGTGCTTAATTTGTATATTATAGCTTCTGAAAAATATGTCCTATTTAAGATAATACTTTTGTTAGTGTGTTTCACAGACAGTGCTATCCAGGTTTTTTCTTTAAACTCTAAGAAAGAACATATATTTCTTCAGGTAGTGATTTTAGGCCTTTAGAAGAACATTAAAGTTTAGAGTGATCATTTATTAACTTCTAATACCCCTGAAAAAATGTTAGTTGCTTCTTTTAAAGGAAACCAGAGCAGTGCATGAGTTACCACTTTTTTACTAAAAATGTAGTCATTTGCAACCTAGTGAGATAATTTATGTTTGTAGTTAATTAGCCATCCAAATGGATTGTAGCTTGTGGTATGCTGATTTCTAGTGACTCAGAGGCTGATGATATTTTCAGTTCCTGAGTTTTGTATAACTCAATATTATCTTACTTTGGGGTTCACAAGGGTATAATTTTATTATAAATTAAAAGGAGAAACAAAACACCAATCCTGAAGTTTGAGTTGGACATGTGAAAAGCATTACTTTAAGTTCCCTTCTCAGGGTCAGGTAAAAGTATTTTTTTAATGAGAAAAAATATGGACTATTTTCACATAAAAGAAATGTTAAAACAAGTAGAAATAATAAAAGAAGCAGAGCATCAAAAGCCAACCAAAACAACAGAGCCAATCTTAATCCTGGTCCAATCACTTTCCTAGAGTTAGGTATTTTTGAGTCTATGTTACCAAGAGAGATTCAGGGGAATTAATGTATTTCAAAATGTGAATATTAAAATAAAATTGTTTTGGTTTTAACACTTTCTCTTAGAAAGTTTTGAAAGTAAACAAGTGAAACTTGGGTCTTTTAAGTACCTCCAAATATTTAAAAACCCATTTGTTGTCAGCATCCTCTAGTCAAATAGAGAATAGTTAAAATTGGGTGTGTCATATTGCAATATACACGTTTCCCATTTTTGATACTAGTGTTTTGAATTAATGGAATATAAGTCTCATTTTGTCATTTAAAAATATGATTGGGAAGAGTGGCATATATATGTGTGTGTGTGTGTGTGTGCGTGTGTGTGTATGAGAATATATATACATATATACATATATATGAGAAACGTGAAATTTCCAGAATTCATTAAATTTAATGTAACTTTTCACTCCAAGTTTTGTGTCTTGAGATTGTGGCATTTCTATAAACAATGTGCTAATGATATTTTGATTAACACTTGATTATGTAAAACGTTTCTCAGAAAAATCCCTTATAGCTAAGTTACTTTTTGGTGGCCAAAATGGTGCCCTTGAGTACTCCAGTCTTTTCACCCAGGGATAGGCTGTTTTACTTGTCATTACCCTGATTCTTCTTTGTATATTGAAGTAATTGCTAATTAAGCTAGGGATGAACCCACAGACTTGAGTGCAAAGTTTATTATTTACATAATCTCAAAGTTAATATTTGAAGTTCTCTGCCCCTTCTTTGCCACCATCATTTGATTTTATTCCTAAAAATGAAAGAGACTCTTTTTTTTTAAAAAAGGAGAGACTTTTAACATAGTTTATTTCTAGAATATGGAAAAAGTTTACTGTTTTTTGCACTTATAAAATTGTGGTGTATTTGTTCATTAAAATAGCTATAATTATATAAAAGCACCAGATCATTTCACTATAGAAGATTATGAGAAGTTAAAACTCCAAACTTTTTGATGACCTCATTATTCATTTAAATGCCACCTATTTTAGTAGAGTGACTTTAACTTGCAAAAAAAAATGTTCTTTTCAGTCTTGTGGGTTATGTTCAGCACTTAAAGTTTTTTTTTATTTCTTCAAAGCAAGAATTGCAGCAAAATATAAAGCCAATTTAAAGAGTACATTTTGTTGTACACATGGTGTATATTATCTACCATAATAAAAGTGTTTTTGAAGCTGATTTTATGTGTGTAAGTTATATGAGGAGTGTATGTTATAAGCATGAAATAATATCAATAGTAATAATTTCTGTATGGCTTATGGATTTTGAAGCTTTTCATATTCAACTCATTAGTGAGAATCCTGCCTTGCATTTCTGTTACCAGTAGTCAACAACATCTGTCAGTAGACACTTTCAAAAATAAAGTTTCTTTGTGAACTCTATTTATTTAGATAGTTGATATATTCTTTTCTTGGGATAAGTATGAAGGAATAAGTACAGTGTTGACATAGATTCCCACACAGCATGTCTTCAGGAAGGAAAAGCGAGCAGTAAGATATAGGTGTATAAATGAAAGTCTGCACCCATTTGAAATATGTCTAGGATAACTTAAGGTGCTTCTACCATTGAGTGGTAGAAACATTCGTGCTTGGTAACCTTGTTGGAAATTGTGCTGTTCAGACTTATGTCTGGCTGTCTATAACAGAATGCCCAAATAAGGTGGCTTAAACAAGGCAGAGCTTTACTTCTTTTTCATGGAAAAGGAGTCCAGTAATGAGCAGTCCAGGGTTGGTTTGGCAGTTCCACTGTTGTGAGGGACTTTTGAGTCCTTCTCACCTGGGTTTTCTGTTGGTTCAGGCTGGCTTCTGGAACTCCTGCCTCACATCTGCATCTGAGTCAGCCCACTTAAGGATCTTTCCTGAAAGCCACACCCTGAACAACTTCTGCTCATATCTCACTGGCCACTCCAAGCTGCAAAAGAGGCTGGGAAATTTAGCATTTTGGTTGAACACTTTGGTTGAGCACAGGATTAGGCGCCAAGCTTAGGATAAAATTGGACTCTTTTTAGTAAGAAGAACCAAAGATTCATTACTGAGTGGGCAATGAGCAATCTTTTGTGTTCTAAGTTGTGGAAATTCCTATTCCAAATATTGCTGTTTTGGTGAGAATGTCTGGTGGCGGTTACAACCACCACCAGTTCTTCTCTTTGTGAGACAGCGGATTCATGTGACATTATCCAAATGCTTTCTATATTTTCAGTCAGCCATCCTCAGGGTTTGGGGGATGTTCCCTCTCAGGGTCACAGGGTTATTTCAGCAGTTCCAGGCAATATGTACAAATATGATTTTCAGGGAAGAAGACAGATATTTCTCCCAAGTCTCCCCATTTATTAGGGAGGAGTAACTTTCCCAGAACCACATACCAGCACCCCAGCTCCCACCAGTTCTCACCTCACATCTGCCAGGATTAGGCTCCATGCTCAGGCCTGAAATAACAAAAAGTCAGGGGAATGAAATCACCATGCTTGGATTTGACCAATCCAGTGATTAAGGTGGAAGTGAATTAGGGGAATTCGATGGAAGTGAATTAAATGGAAGTGAATCAGCAGAATTAGGGGTCTACCACAAAGGAGGAGGAGAAGGGAAGAATGGATGTTAGGGGGACAGCCAATAATCTGCACATATATATGTATTATTATGTATTAAGTGAAAGTCACTCAGTTGTGTCTGACTCTGCAACCCCATGAACTGCACAGTCCATGGAATTCTTCAAGCCCAGACTACTAAAATACTGGAGTGGGCAGCTGTTCCCTTCTCCAGGAGATCTTCCCAACCCAGGGATCCAACTCAGGTCTCCCGCATTCCAGGTGGATTCTTTACCAGCTGAGCCCCCAGGGAAGCCCTATGTATGTATATATATACACGTATGCATGTGCATATGTATTATTTATGTTTCTTGTTTATTTAGGGTCTCTATGGCTTATTCATAATATCTCATTATGTACTATAAATGTTTTTGAAATTATGAAATTTTAAGTTGAAAATAAAATGAATATGGTAAAAACAATTCAAATAGTACTGAAAGCATAAAACCCAGGTCTTAGTTCTACTGGAATGTCTAAATGTAACCTTTATTAATAGTTTTGTGTATTCTGTAAGAAAGTTTTCTGTTTGTATAATTGTTTTTACACAAATATGTGTGTATTAGAGACACTGTAATTCATCTTGCTTTTTTAGATCAATAGCATATCTTGGAGTTCTTTCCTTCTCGGTATATAAAGATGGATAGCACTCTTACTTAACAGTTTTGGATTTTGGACCATTGCACAGTATTGATAATACCATAACATAGTTAACTATTTCCATATTAATAGAAATATAATATAGATTTAGGCTGTTTTGTTTTTGATAATTACCAGCAACAGAGTGACCCCTTGGACATGAGTATTGGGTAAATGTTTGAAAATAGAATTGTTAGGTCACAGGGTATGTGAATTTTACATTTTTTTGGTGAATTTTACATTTTGATTTGTTGTTGTTGTTCAGTTGCTAACCTGTGTCCAACTCTCTGCAACCCCATAGACTGCAGCACGCCAGGCTTCCCTGTCCTTCACTATCTAGCAGAGTTTGCTGAAACTCATGTTCATTGAGTTGATGGTGCTGTCCAGCCATCTCATTCACCCACTTTCCCTCCTGCCTTCAATCTTTCCCAGCATCAGGGTCTTTTCCAATGAATCATCTCTTTGTATCAGGTGGCCAAAGTATTGGAGCTTCAGTTTTGACATCAGTCCTTCCAATGAATATTCAGGGTTGATTTCTTTTAGTATGGACTAGTTTGATCTCCTTTCTGTCCAAGGGACTCTCAAGAGTCTTCTCCAGCACCATAATTCAAAAATATCAATTCTTTGGCACTCAGCCTTCTTTATGGTCCCAACTGTCACATCCATATATGACTATTGGAAAAACTGTAACTTTGAGTATATGGACCTTTGTTGGCAAAGTGATGTCTCTGCTTTTTAATATCCTGCCTAGGTTTGTCATAGCTATTCTTCCAAGGAACAAGCGTCTTTTAATTTCATGACTGTAGTCACCGTCCACAGTGATTTTGGAGCCCAAGAAAATAAAATCTGTCTTGTTTCCATTGTTTCCCCGTCTATTTGCCATGTGTGTGTGTGTGTGTGTGTGTGTGTTAGTCGCTTAGTTGTGTCCGACTCTTTGTGACCCCATAGACTGTAGCCAGTCAGGCTCCTCTGTCCATGGAGTTCTCCAGGCAGGAATACTGGAGTGGGTTGCCATTTCCTCACAAAGTGATGGCAAACAATCTTAAGATGTCATCATCTTAGTTTTTTGAATGTTGAGTTTTAAGTGAGTTTTTCCACTCTTCCTCTTTCACCTTCATCAACAGGCTCTTTAGTTCCTCTTTGCACTCTGCCATTAGGGGGGTATCATCTGCATATCTGAGGTTGTTAATATTTCTCCCGGCAGTTATAGCCCATTTACCCTCTTGGGTTATACTCTTTTGGGCTTCTAACAGTAGCTAAGGAGAGGGAATTGAAATTCCTAACATAGGTCAGTCAGTGGGTCACATCTTAGCTCATATCTTTGGGAAAAAAAGACAAGTTTTTCTTTACAGTAATGTAGAGGAGAAAGCTTTTCATCCTGTAATGCATCATTTTTTTTCTCAACTTGTAAATACGTTTATGGGATTGTCTTTTGATATAAGGTACAGATAAACCTTAAAATGACTTTATATAGAAATTTTTACTTTATGATTAAATATCTTTTTTTTTTCTCTTAAAATTACAGGTGTTTGGCCCCTGACTGAGAGAGAAGATGACCTGAAAGTCTCTGCCGTGGTTTCTCCTAACTTTGATTCAGTATCTGTAGGTGTATTTGCAGACTTTAAGAGGGTTTGTGATAGTGGTGGACTCTGATATATCGGAATCAGATTGTATCGGTTTAAAATCTGGGCCTCCAAATAGAAACTTCAGGGAAGATAACAAGTTTTCGGCCTTGTTACTTTCTAGAAAAAAACATTTCTAGCATCTCAGTGTAATAACAAGTTTCTTAGGCAGGATTTCTATCTTGAAAAAGGGGAAGGGAGGGGGATTGTCAAAGAGGTTCTCACCATTACTCTGAATCTCCCTACTTTATTGTATTTTTTCAAACTTTTTCAGTACTGGAGTATTGAGACAATCCTACTCCAGATGAATAATACCGAGACCACTACATTTTTGTTGAATGTTCAATGAGATAATGTTTATGAAAGGTATGACTCAGAGCTTGATGATTTATAGTCTTTAATATATTACAGTGGCTGTGGTGGGAGGGTAGTTTAAGAATAAAGAGTTGGGCCAGGAATTATTTTTTCTCTCATTTCTATTTGTGTGACCTCAGAGCAAGCTATTTAATTTTTTTTGTCTCAATTTTCTTATCTGTAAAGTGGTAATAGTAGTAGAATCTACTCTGTTGAATTATAATAATTAACTAACAAATCATTATAATAGTATTCATGATCATCAACCCCACCACAGCTGTCACCATTCCAGTTGTCTTGTGTGTGCTCAGTTGTTGAGCCATGTCTGGCTCTTTGTAACCCTGTGGACTGTAGCCTGCGAGGCACCTCTGTCCATGGAATTTTCCAGACAAGAATACTGGAGTGGGTTGCCATTTCCTTCTCCATGGGATCTTTCCTATTCAGGGTTCAAACCAATGTCTTTTGCATCTCCTGCATTGGCAGGCAGATTCTTTACCACTGCGCCACCTAGGAAAATTGATTGCCATTTCCTTAATGCCGGTTGCAAAATGGGTGTTCAGTATATATTTGCTCTATAAATGAATAGTAAAGCTGAAAAACGAGAAAGGGGGACTGTCCTCGGTTACATTACCTTATCTGTTTGTTTAGTCTTCTTTAAGCACTTGTTAGATTATGGTTGGTTTTCTCTCACTGCCTGCAGTTGGGCCAAAATCTGTCTAGTTTATCTATGTCTGTACCAAGTTGATCAATTTAGGCAAGTGATCAAATTCACTCGTTTTACTGTATATGAGGTCTGTGTCATATAACTTTGCTTAGGAAATGGCTTTGCTATTTAGGTATCAGAACACAACATAGTATGTAATTCCATAGCTTTTTAAAGAATAATCTTAGTACAAACAGCCAACCCAAGTTGTGATAAAAATTGCATTAACATTGCCTTAGTATAGTAAGTTGGATATTCTTAAAAAAAAAAAAAAGTAGGACTATATATGAAAGAGACATTCACCCAGTTGAGTCACATAGTAGAGGTACTGTTCTATAAACTTTGGATATTCAGCACACCATTTCTCACTCTACCTGAAGGGTGTAGTCTGAGTGGAACGTTTCTGCTTAGTTAGCTGACAAATGTACACACATTTTCTTGCCTTGGAAATGATTCTTTTTTTCCTTTTGGCAACTTCTATAATTTTTTTCTAGGTTTTTCTCTTAGACATAGGCTTTTTGAAATGAGGAATTCCCTTTCTGTTCTTCAGCAACTTTTGATCTTTGTGAGTAAAGGCTTTATGTAATAGCACTGTATTTTAATATGTATTTCCCTATTGGTAACCTGAAGTGCTTTTTCTTCTTAACTAGGTATCTCTTTCCAGCTCCATTTCCCCCATCTCACGATTTTTTTCCTTCTCAAGAAAGGAAAGGATTCTTGAGAGTATCATATTCATCTCATTGGAAAACATCAGTCCAATGATTTATGTGGCTTTGGTGCCATATTGTCTTCATATAGCTATTTCTCTTTGGCTATAATTTCATGTTTCCAAAGGACTTTTGTCCTTGAAATATCAAGGTGTTTAGGCATGGATTGAAAAGAGTAAGAAATGGGAGATGTTGGTTTCTTTTCTAGATTTGCCGACAGCTAAATGTAAAACATTTCCTGGATTTTAGGTAATACTAGAGCAAAAAGCCTGGCTTAATATTTTATTTTCAGTCATTATTGTGAAAGCACACATCCAAAAACTAATTTGTGCCAGACTGGTGTCTTTTACAGAAGAAACAAATATCGCTATCCTCTCTTCTTGATTGAGAAGTTGAATCAGAGTTCATATACAGTTTCCTATGGAATCATATATAGGATATGAATATCCTTACTCTTAATTATGCTGATGACCATGACATCATACTGATCCCCACTGCTTAGAGGAGGCTTAATTTTTCTCAGTAAAATAATTCCAAGTAGGCAAATTTAAAGTACAATGGATTTATTCATTGGTTGGACAGAGACTTTATGATCATAACTGTTCCCTTAGGAATCCATGTGGGTATTATTAGAAAATATGTTACCCTTTGATCTTATTCTTTCATATAGTGACCATATTTTCCTCTCAGTCTACTGCTCTGAAAAATGAGTTATAAATTCTAAGGAAATATTTGCTCTATTATATTCTGAATTCTTTAAGAGATAGGACCAGGTAACCCAGGCTGATTCTCAAAGAGTGAAAGAATTTATGATATGTACTAGTAAAAAAAAGCAAACAAACTGCTACTTTTGTTTTATTTTCTAGATGTAAGGCCACTCAATCTTTATATCATTAATTACATGCCTTAGATACATATTATTAATTAGAATAAAGCATACCTTTGGCAAGTTAAAAACACAAGGACCTAAAAAATGGCATAATGTTTATATAGAAAATATATAGAGGTCTTGTTTTATATAATATAAAGAATGAATTAATAGAATTAGTTTCAATTTTTAAGGAAATTTGGCAGTAGTTTAATAATGAAGTATGTGAACTTTTCTTCCCTTTTTTGGTGGGTGTGTTTTTTAATATTAGTTCATGACTTTCCAAATGAAGCCATCCAAAAAAGCCACAGTGATTCTTTTATTCTGTCATCAGAGTGATAAATCCTTTTTGCCTTTTTTTTTTTTTTGGTGGTGGGAAGTATATATCAAACCCACTGTGTTTACTTACTGATGTATAGTACTTAAACAATTCTTTCCTCCCTTTAATTTTCAATTCTGTGTTTACAGCAAGCTACTGATGCTGAAGTGGGAGCTGACCTTGTCCCTTCAGTCACAGTGAAGGTATTGTACCATAGTTCTAGGCTCTAATGTGCAAGCAGTATCATGCATTTCATCACATCTGTCACTATTGTCACCCCATAAGTAGCATATGGAAATGTAAAAGAAACACTTGGTGGGCGGAAGAGCTAACACACATTTTTCCAAAGAGGACATCAAAATGGCCAATAGACACATGAAAAGATGCTTAGCATCACTGATTATCAGGGAAATGCACATCAAAATCACAAGAGATGTCACTTCACAGCTTAGAACGGCTATCATCAAGAAGATAAGAGACAACAGGAGGATGAGGATGTGGTGAGAAGGGAGCTCTTAAATATTGTTGGTGGGAATATAAATCGATCCAACCAGTATGGATTGGAGGTTCCTTAAAAAATTAAAAAAAAAAAATCTTCTGTATGATCTAGCAACTCCACTTCTGGGGATAAATCAAAGGAAATGAAAACAGTATTTCCCATGTGACATATACACTCTCATGCTTATGACAGTATTATTCACAAAATAGCCAAGATATGGATACAACCCAAATGCCCATCAATGGTTGAATGGATAAAAAAAAGATACGGTACATTTACACCCTAGGATATTATTCAACTATGAGAAGGGAGGATATCCTTCCATTTGCAACAACATGGGTGGATCTTGAGCAAACTGTGCCAAGTAAGATAAGATGGACAGAGAAAGACAAGTACTATACGATATCACTTATATGTGGGACTCTGAAAAAGTTAAGCCTGTAAAAACACAGGGTAAAATGGGCTTGAGGCTTCCCAGGTGGCTCAATGGTAATGAATCTGCCTGCCAATGCAGGAGCTGCAGGAGATGTGGGTTTGATCCTTGGGCTTGGAAGATCCCCTGGAGGCAGAAACGGCAACCCGTTCTAGTATTCTTCCTGGGGTAATCCCATGGACAGAGGAGCCTGGTGGGCTGCAGTCCATGGGATCGCTTATCAGGAGTTTTAGTAAGGTTAAGAGTGATGATTTGAAGGGAATACAGGAGTACACTTCTAATGAGTAGTAAATAAACTATAAATATCTGATGCACAGTGTAATGAATATAGATAATAACATTGTACTGTAGTTATGTAATGTGATCAATATCACTGGATTGGCACTCATATTGGCAATGTATAAATATATCAAAGTAACGGCTATGGTCCATAGGGTTGCAGATTGTCGGACACGACTGAAGTGACTTAGCACAACACAGCACACCATGTGCTGTATACCTTAAATATGCACAATATTACACATTAAATTTATCAAGTTAAAAAAAGATTTCTTGGTTAAAAAGTAAAAAAGAAGGAAAACCCAAACACTTGACATTTGTAAGTTTTCCTTAGCCTTGGGAAGTAAATAGATAACCCTTATCATTTCCTACGAATATAAAAATAGTATTTATAACAGTATGTATATAATAAAAAATTGTAATGACTTATTTCTACCTTTAATTAAATGTGTAGTATGATTTGGGGTTATTTTTTAGAAACGGTATTTAAATATACTGGAGGAATTGTGTCATCACATCTATAGTAGACCAAGCAGCTCGTTTCAGTATTATATATATATTGGGGAATCATATGAATATTAATAATATCTTTCTTCTATGTGTGTATTTAAAAAGAATTCCAAGCCATCTATCTGCCATAATATTAGCTTTAAATGGATGTATTTATAGTAGGAAAATACTAAACGAAGAAGCCGCAGAGTAGAGTAGTGACAAATTGATGGTGCCCCCAAAATACAATATGAAGGATGTGGTTTTGGTTAAGATTTTTAGTCCTGCCATTGTAGAATTTTAGAACTAGGACTCAAATGTAGAACCCTCTTAAGGCATTTAGATTAAAGTGTGGTAATCAGTCAGCACATTATTAAGCTGAAAATATTTATCACTGCCCAGAATTTGGAGCCAGGGAAAGTTGTGGATCTTGGCGATTCACTAAGTCAAAACTTGGACGGGACTTTATATTTTCTTAGATTATGGGTTGCTGTCCTTGGAGGAGCTTGACAGGGCACCAGGCTTTACCAATTGTGTTCGCTTACACTGGACCCAGCGGGTGGCCCAAGTGTGGGGATCTTTGGTAGAAGCTGAAGGGAGCCCAATCTTATAACTGTTTCCTAAGCTAATTTTTTTGGATTCTTGCCACTGGAAACAAGGGTGGTCTTTTCCCAGTCTCCCTTCTCCCTATCCAATCAAAGGCTCTATCTCATTAATACTTCTGAGTCTGGAAAAGCTTTAGTGGCAAGAAATCAAACATTTAAGATAAAAAACAACAATCTTGCAGTGTTCCAGGAATGATCTGTAGACTTTTGTGTAGGGAAATCCCTTTTATATCTATCTACTGATATTGTTCTGACAGATACATATAATAATTCTGGAGCATGTTGTAAATTTGAAAAAAAAAGCTTGTACCTAAACCAGATAACATTGCTCATACTAATTTTTCCCCAACTACTAGTTATTGCTGTAAATAAATACGCCTTTCCCTCCCATGTAGTTCTTAGACTCCCCTGTGTAACAGCCACCTTCAAACGATGCCAGGACAGTACTGGAAATTTCTCCTTCATTATGGGAATTTAACTGTGTTTGAGAATGACTAAGTTACACTCTCTTCCTTATTGGTATGATAAAATAATAAGAAAGAATGCGATACTCTAGAGTTACACAAAATCAGCTTGACTTTCACGGCGGACACCGTGACTTCCTGTTTCTGCCTGACAGTTCCTATACAAATTTCTGTTATAAATCTCTCCTTATAGCCTTTAATAACAACAGCAGCCAAAATATATAACCATACAAGTTTCCGTCATAATAAATCCTGTTAATTGAGAAAATTTTTCCATCCGTTCCAAGTGAATGAAGATGTGGCTACCTTGAGTATGTGCGCATGATGCGTGACCATCTATTCCAGGCAACCAAGGCAGAGTGGTTGTTAATACCTGGCCTTTGGAGTCATGTTTATATATCTAGGGTAAAAATTTGGTATTATATTTCCTAAGGATCATATTTTATTTTGTTAGAAATGGAAAATAGCATGGAAAACACTCATATTCATGTTTCATATTTTCCCCTTAATATTCTATAATTATTTTTCTCTTAAAATGTGAGGTTTATGATCTAGCCAAGTCTTTAACTTTTTTTTTTTTTTGGCTCAAACACAAGTCTTCTTTGTTACTGTGGTTATTTTTGTCACACATCATCTTGATTCACATTTGAAAGTGCCTAGTCCATTGTTGGAATTCAATAAATCTGTGTATAAGAGTTATCACCATCCATCTTCCATCTAAACTAAATGCAAACACTTGTAACAGTGTAAAATTGTATGATTGTTGTCTAAGTATGCATTGTTATGCCTAGCAGAGTCAGAACGTCTGCCGCTTTAAAAGTGGCTTATTACTACTTTAAGGATTTTTTGTTTTCATTTTTAAAACTACGCTCTTTTTGAGACCTTCTTGGTCATTCTTTTCAGCTCACTTGCATATATTGGCTTGATGGTCTTAAACGTGTTTTTGAGTTTCTCTGAACCTCTGTTTTTAAACTGTAAAATGGGGGTACTTTTTCATTTGCAGTTATTTTGATTCTTAACCACAGCTAATTAAGAGCATGGGCTCTGGACTCTGACAGACAGAAGTTAACTGGCGGTTCTTCCACTTATAATCAGAGTTGCCTTGGTCAAATTATCTAGCTTCTCTGAGCCACATTTTTATCTTATGTAAAATGGGATATAGTGATAGATAGTACCTGTTTCACAATGTTGTAGTGGGTAAATGAGGTAATACAAATAATTTATTACATGGTTCCATGAATATAGAAAGCTGCTAATGGCTATTATCATTAGTTTTATTTAAAATACATGTCCAGACCAGTATGGCAAAATGGATGTCTGAGGAGGCCTTACAAATAGCTATGGAAAGAAGAGAAGTGAAAGGCAAAGGAGAAAAGGAAAGATATACCCATTTGAATGCAGAGTTCCAAAGAGTAGCAAGGAGAGAGAAGAAAGCCTTCCTCAGTGATCATTGCAAAGAAATAGAGGAAAGCAATAGAATGGGAAAGACTAGAGCTCTCTTCAAGAAAATTAGATACCAAGGGAAATTTTCATGCAAAGATGGGCTCAATAAAGGACAAAAATGGTATGGACCTAACAGAAGCGGAAGATACTAAGAAGAGGTGGCAAGAATACACAGAAGAACTGTACAAAAAAATATCTTCATGACCCAGATAATCACTATGGTGTGATCACTCACCTAGAGCCAGACATCCTGGAATGTGAAGTCAAGTGGGCCTTAGGAAGCATCACTAAGAACAAAGCTAGTGAAGGTGATGGAATTCCAATCGAGCTATTTCAAATCATAAAAGATGATGCTGTGAAAGTGCTGCATTTAATATGCCAGCAAATTTGGAAAACTCAGCAGTGGCCACAGGACTAGAAAAGGTCAGTTTTCATTCCAATCCCAAAGAAAGGGAATGCCAAAGAATGCTCAAACTACCACACAATTGCACTCATCTCACACTCTAGCAAAGTAATGCTCAAAATTCTCCAAACCAGGCTTCAACGGTACATGAACCGTGAACTTCCAGATATGCAGGCTGGTTTTAGAAAAGGCAGAGGAACCAGAGATCAAATTGCCAACCTCCACTGGATCATCAAAAAAGCAAGAGAGTTCCAGAAAAACATCTGCTTTATTGACTATGCCAAAGCCTTTGACTGAGGGGATCACAACAAACAGTGGAAAATTCTTAGAGACAGGAATACCAGACCACCTGACCTGCCTCCTGAGAAACTTATACGCAGAGTACATCATGAGAAGTGCTGGGCTGGAGGAAGCACAAGCTGGAATCAAGATTGCCAGGAGAAATATCAATAACCTCAGATATGCAGATGATACCACCCTTGTGGCAGAAAGTGAAGAACTAAAGAGCCTCTTGATGAAAGTGAAAGAGGAGAGTGAAAAAGTTGGCTTAAAACTCAACATTCAGAAAACTAAGATCATGGCACTTGGTCCCATCACTTCATGTCAAATAGTTGGGCAAACAGTGGAAACAGTGACAGACTTTATTTTGGGGGGCTCCAAAATCACTGCAGATGGTGACTGCAGCCATGAAATTAAAAGACACTTGCTTTTTGGAAGAAAAGCTATGACCAACTTAGACAGCTTATTAAAAAGCAGAGACATTACTCTGCCAACAAAGGTCCGTATAGTCAAAGCTATGGTTTTTCCAGTAGTCATGTGTGGATGTTAGAGTTGGACCATAAAGAGAGCTGAGCACTGAAGATCTGATGCTTTTGAACTGTGGTGTTGGAGAAGACTCTTGAGAGTCCCTTGGACAGCAAGGAGATACAACCATCTTAAAGTCCATCTTAAAGGAAATCAGTCCTGAATATTCATTGGAAGGACTGATGCTGAAGCTGAAACTCTAGTACTTTGGTCACCTGATGCCAAGAACTGACTCATTGGAAGAGACACTGATGCTGGGAAAGATTGAAGGCAGGAGAAGGGGATGACAGAGGATGAGTTGGTTGGATGGCATCATCAACTCAATGGACATGAGTTTGAGTAAACTCTAGGAGTTGGTGATAGACAGGGAGGCCGAGCATGCTGCAGTCCACAGGGTCGCAAAAAGTTGGACATGACTGAGTGACTGAAGTGAACTGACAAACCAGTATGAAGGTGTTGGTTGTTCAGTCGTGACACCACAGAATGTAGCCTTTTTGTGACACCATTGACTGTAGCTTTCCAGGCTCCTCTGTCCATGGAGTTCTTTAGGCAAGAATACTGGAGTGGGTAGCCATTCCCTTCTCCAAGGGATCTTCCTGACCCAGGGGTGGAACTTGGGTCTCCTGCATTGCAGTCAGATTCTTTACTGTCTGAGTCACCAGGAAAGGATTATTATTAATAATAAAATATTTAAATTATTTAAATTATATTCCATGTACATGCATAGTTCTTCCTGTAATTACCATTAGGGTTTTACTAAAAAGATATTATGAATTTTTAAATAAATTTTCAGACATCATTAAGGAAGCTTTTTTCATGGTATGCAGATTTCCCCCCATACCTAGGGCTCATAAAGTGAAAATCGGAGGGTTTATTTTTCATTTGCTGTATTTATTGTATTTCTTTTCTTTTTTTTTTTTTTGATGTCTGATCTTATTTATTTGTTACTCTTAGAACATTTCATTTTTGACTGGACTCAGACTTAGAAGTAGAAGCTCTCAGAGAGGACAGCCTCCGTCTCTTGGCAATCTGTTCCTGCCATTTTTCTTTGGCCTCCTTCATTCTCTTGGCCAAAAGTTTAGCATATTCTGCAGCCTCTTCTTTGTTTTTCTTAGTATGCTGTTTCTTCAGAGCAATACGCTGGCGTTTGTGTTGCAGAACTTGTGGAGTCACGAGACGCTGAATCTTGGGTGCTTTAGTCCTAGGTTTCTTACCTTCTTTGTTTAGGGGCTTTCGTACAACATATTGGCAGACATCATCTTCTTTAGAGAGATTGAAAAGTTTGCGGATTCTGCTAGCTCTTTTGGGACCCAGGCGACGAGGCACTGTAGTGTCAGTGAGTCCAGGAATATCCTTCTCCCCTTTTTTCACGATGACCAAGTTGAGAACACTCAGATTGGCATCCACAATGCAACCCCGTACAGATTTGTGCTTTCTCTCTCCAGTCCTCCTTGGTCTGTAACAGGAATGCCCCTTACTCAGTAGCAGGCGAACTCCGCCATGGGTCAAGACACCCTTCTTCATGGGGAAACCCTGCTTATTGTTTCCGCCACTGATTTGGACCACATAACCCTTCCATTCTTCACCCAGAGCGTCAGCAGCAACTTCTGTGGCCATATGCTTCTCGTAGAAGGTACGAAGTTTTTGTTCCTCGTCCACTTCAATGAGCTTCTGGCAGCCAGTGGCCGGGAAAGAGATGTTCAGCTTCATTCTGAAGTGGCCGACAGCCTCGAGGCGCCACGAAAGAGAGCTATTGTATTTATTTTCATCAATTATTGTCCTTTAAAATTTTTACTTTGCAAGTCAAAAATTTTACGTTTATTTTTAAATTGTACAGAATACACACATCATTTAAAATTAATACATTTACTGAATCTAATTGTATATATATAGGGTTTGTAGGCCAGTTATACTTGTATATTATTTTTCTATCCATAGTTTCTATATATATGTGTGTGTGTGTATGTATATAATTAAGGTATAGTTGATACATGCCTTTTACCTAAGAGAAAATTAAAAATGTCTTTTCTTTAAAATTAAGTATGCCCTTGCTTGTGCCCAGTCACTAAATCATGTCCAACTGTTTTGTGACTCCCTGGAATGTAGCCCACCAGGATCCTCTGTCCATGGGATTTCCCAGGCAAGAATACTGAAGTGGGTTGCCATTTTCTCCTCCAAGGGATCCTTCCAACCTAGGGATCGAACCCACATCGCCTGCGTTGGCAGGCAGATCTTTATCACTGAGCCACCAGGGAAGCCATGCCCTTGCGTTATGCTAATTAGTAGTGAAATGAATCTGTCTGGTATACTATAGTAGCAAGACTGAAAGTGCTCCAAGGCAAAAAAAAAAAAAAAACAAAAAAACACCCACGTAGAAGAGAGCTTCTCGACTCTGGTTGTACATAGGTCTTACCTGGGGAACTATTAAGAAAAATACCAATACCCAGGTCTGCCCCCAGAGATTGTGACTTAATTGGTCTAGCAACGCTACCCGACTAGTGACTATAATAAATCCAGCTTGCCATGTGGATAAACTTATCCAAAGGGGATGATTCAAAGAGGCTGGGATTTTTAGGAGATAAAAACCAGAGAGAGAATGTTCCCAATGGAAGCCAGATCTTTAAGCTTTTTCTTTGATTCCCTTAGCACTGTGGCCCAGCAAACATCTTTGGGCCTGATGAAGTCTATTGATGTTTCTCTTTAGGGGGAATGAGAGAAGTCCTGGCCTTCTCAACCCATACTCACCCTATTTCTGAGGCAATCTATTACCCCAGAATTCTTAGCTATTAATTCTAATTGGAGTGGGAGGGTTAAGAAAAAACCCAACCAAAAGCATCAACCAAAAGCACCAGTTTGGAAGTACAGCCAGCTTAGATATGTAGTCAGTTAGTCAATATTGCCATTCTTTGATGTTTTCTAGAGTATTTATGTCAGCTATTTTTGCTTTAAGCCACAGAAGAAAGTGTAGTATTTAAACTACATATGTAGTTAAACTAGCAAATACCTACATAGTAAGGAAATCTTTACCGAGCAATTAACTTCTGAAAAAGGTGATATACTGATACTAGATAAAATAAATAATTCATAATGCCACATCTATGTAAAGAAGAATTAACACATATAATATTTTATGATGTAATTATTCGCCAGACATGAGGGAAGATTTTTTTGGGTCTGCTATTGATAGACCATTTTTAATAGCTTTATTCAGTTATAATTCACATGCCATGCAATTATAGGTCTATAGGGTCACAGAATCATACATGACTGAAGTGACTTAGCATGCACGCATGCACAGAATGATCACCACAATTTAATTTTTAAACATTTTGTCCCCCACCCCAGTAAAAACCCTGTGTTCCTTAGCTGTCACTTTCTTTTCTCTCCATACCCCCACTTTCAATCCCACTACCATCCCCAAGCAACTGCTAATCTATTTTCTGTCTCTGTAGATTTGCCCACTCTGGATATTTCATATAAATTGCATCAAGTAATATGTGGTCTTTTTGTGACTGGCTTCTTTCATTTAACATCTTAATAATGTAATGTACCCATGTTGTAGCCTCTACCAGTACTTCCTTTAGTTTTATTACTGAATAATATTTCATTGTATGGGTATTCCATATATTGTTTGTCACTTCATCAGTTTATGGACACTGGGGTTGTTTCTAATTTTGGTTATTGTGAATAAAGCTGCTAATACATGTGTACAAGATTTTGGGTGACATTTCTTTTATTTCTCTTCATAAGGAATTATGAGGATAAATGATAAATTTATGTTTAATTTTAAAAGAAACTGTCAGACTTTTTTCTTGCTTAGCTATACCATTTTACATTTCCATCAGCAATTTAGGCAGGTTCTTGTTTCTCCACATTCTTGGTAACACCTGTTTTTACCTTTTTGAGTATAGCATTTTAGTCGATGTACAGTAGTAGTCCAATGTGGTTTTACTTTGTATTTCATACAGCGATTTTGAGCATTCTTTCATATGCTTGTTGGCTACTTGTATATCTTCTTGGAGAAAGTCTGTTGGATTCCTTTATCCAGTTTCTAACTGGGTAGAACTTTTTAATCTACTACTTATGTTACACATTATGTTTTGTGGTAGCTTTTTTTTTCTTAGATTGTATTTCTCTAATTATTTGTTGTAGTTGTAGTATTCTATCAATTTGGAAAAAATATAATTTTCTGTTAATAGCAGTTTCTATTTTCTCAGGTCACACTGCGGAATCGAGTGGCACTGCAGAAGATCAAGTTATCAATCTATGTGCAACCACCTTTAGTACTAACTGATGATCAGTTCACCTTTGAATCTATGAGTAAGTGTTTTCTTTTGGCTGAAAGTCTATCATGGTGTGAGGTTTTTTTTTATTAATTTTTTTATTAGTAGATTTATTTCATGGCTATATTTCTTGTCTGAATATATCAGGTATTTTCCTGAAATCAATGTGTTGTTTTGCTTATTTTTCCCCTCTAAACATCAGTCATGGACATTCAACGAATGGCTGTTGAGCCATAGTAATTACAGATCTTCAAGCAATTTTCTTAACTAAATGGACCAGCAATTGTACTTAATTACTATATTTTGGAAGGATATTTTAATGGTGTTTCTCTAGTGAGCTATTTATTGAATCACTAGAAAGAATATTTATTGGTTTTGGAGTGTGTCCTGAATTTGAGTTTTGGTTCTGACACTCAAGGGCTTCCCTTGTGGCTCAGCTGGTAAAGAATCCGCTTGCAATGCGGGACACCTGGGTTTGATCCCTGGGTGGGTAAGATTCCCTGGAGAAGGCTACCCACTCCAATATTCTGGCCTAGAGAAGTCCATGGACTGTATAGTCCATAGGGTCATGAACAGTCGGACACGACTGAGTGACTTTCACTTTCTAACACTCACTCTGTAACCATGGGCAAGCTACTTTGGTAATTATATGGAACCTCTTTTTTTTTTTTTTAATTCTACAGAAAGGGAATAATGATATCTGTCTTGCAGAACTATTTTAATTTGAATTTAATCAGAAAATTAATTAGATTTAATTAGAAAATGAATCTATGTATGATATCTGTAATAACGCTTAAAATAGTAGGTAATAAATGGCAACTCTTTGTAAGATTTATTTGTATCGAGTCTCTCTTACCACTTACATCCAAGTTGTCATTAATTCTGATAAAATGACTTCTGAATTGTCTGTCAAGTCTTTTTCTGTTTTTCTTTATGCCAGTGTTTAGATGGGAACCCTAATTTTACCCATAAAAATCAAGACCATCTCTTTTTTTTTTCTTTATATAACTAATCTCTACCTGAGTGTGTGGCAAATAGTGGAAACTCAATAAGTACTCATTGAATCAGTGAATGAATGGTTAGTGGTTGAGGTAAACTTGTAGGTGGCATCTTACTTTATCTGTAAAATTTTCACAGTACTTCCAAGTTGTCTTTCTAAAACATTCTGGATAATTAATGTTTTCCAGTTGAAAACTTTTTTATAGCTCTCTAATACATGTTTGAGGTCAAGTACATGAATATGGAAGGGTATGTACAATCTGCTAAGTTGCTACAGTTTTAGTTACATCCATATCCAGTTCCCCCTTTCATTTTCTCCTGCAGTCTGTGTTCTAGCCATGGTAAAGCACTATTTCCCACTCCCAAATTCTCTTTCCCTTTGTGTACCTTTTTCTTTGTTCATATTGCCTGTTCATCTGAGTAAAGAAAGGCAGTGGTGTGGAATGGCAGGTACCCTTGTTCTGGAGTCAATTCCTACCTCTGTCTTAACTATATGACCTTGGGCAAGCTTTTAAATCTCTGTTGCCATTTTCCTCATGTACCAAAAATGGAGATAATAATAGTGACCACCATGTAGGGTTGTTGTGAGGATTAAATGAGTTAATCTATGCAAGTGTTGTGTAAAATGCTTAAGACAGTAGCTGGCATGCAGTGTATGTCTAATTTCAGTTGTTGTTAATAATAATTGCCTGAAATTATGTAACATATTATTTTTACATTGCTTATAGCACCAGATATGACTAGAACTGTAGGCTTTTCCGTTTATCTGAAAGGAAGTTATTTACCACCTGAATTGGAAGGAAATGCTGTTGTTTCTTATTCCAGACCAACAGGTAAACATATAGTTCACGAATTTATAAGCCTAATAATCACTTCTTTTAAATTACTGGAGTTGTGGGTTAGATGTTTAAGTGTTTAAGATGGGAAGACATATTGTAACTATTATTAAAAGAAAAAATATTATTACACAGTGTTAAATAAAAAATATCTGTCCAAGTTACTTTCATGTGTTATGAATAATTAGTGATAAGTCTATTCAGCTGATTTCTATATGTAATGTTTGATTCTATCTTTTCAATTAATAGTGAATATGATATTTTTTATTCTCACTAGAATAATGTTATCTAGTCAGACTTCATGTATTTGAGCTAAACAGAAAAGCCTAGTCTGAATTAGTAAAAATCGTCATATAGGTTACTCTAATATTAAGGCAGTCTTTAGAGTTTCAGACACTGCTTTAGTGATTAAATGAAACTCTTTAATATCTTACATGTTAAAATACTTAAGAACAGGATCTGTATTATTTCAAGAAACTGATAGATCAAAAAGTTCTTTTTAGACCAGTAGAGATCCAGTTATTATAAATTTCAAGTTGGATTCAATTTTATAGTTTCTTTGTGTGTTTTTATATAGTGAATTTTTCATAGTAACAGTTTGACAATTAGTTGATTGATAAATAATAGTCATTGCTTTTTTAAAAAAAGTTTGAATATAGTATAACTGATAGGCTATTTCAGTAGTGTTGCATTTGTGTTTTTAAGCATTTCTGTACAGTTGTCTTAGTTTAAAAAGCCTTAGAGATGCCATATTCATATTTTTTCTATTGATATCCACTTTGGTTACTTAGCGATATTTTTATGAAACTGTCACCCTACCTACTGTGCTAATGAGCCACCTTGGCAATGTTTTTAAAATTGTAGTTCTTATTTTGTCTCAGTGAATTTTCTGGTTTATGCATTGACAACTCTATGCTTGGAGGTGTTTTTTTATAACTTTAGTACAAGTTTTCAAAATCTGTTTCATCTTTGTAAATAATTTTACTTTAAATTATAAAAAATAATTTTTAGCCAGAAGTGACCACTTTAACCTTTTACCTATATTTTCAAAATATGAGGTAGTGTAAATATTTTATGTTTAAGCAGCTTTGAGAAAGCTAGCTTCAGAAAGAAATACAGGACCTCCATGAGGGATCAAGAAATGATGGACATTTTAGTTGGATATTTCTGAAAAGAACATTTAAATGTTCAGTGAGTTATGAAATAAAAAATAGGACATGTTGGCTAAAATCTCTAGATAATGTATCATTAATTGAACATCTCAATAATCATAGCATAAAAAATTATACTTTTTATCTTTGCTACTCCTTGAAAATACAGTTGTAGAGATTGTTGATACCATAATTCAACTAATCATTTCATTTATCTTTAAGGAAAAGTAGTTGAAAATCAATTTAAAATAAATAAATGAAATACCTAGCAAGTAGACAAAAGCTTAAAACTACACTATAAAGTTATTAAATCATTTGGTGAGCTTATGGTTGCACATACCATTTTTAGCTATTATGCTTTTGTAAAGATGGAATTTGAAAGATTATAAATTATTACTAAAAATGCATAGACAATAATTGGTTGAAAGCTAATTTGAAATTAAAAACAAGTCTATAAAAGTAAAATACCTAGACAAGCTGGAAAGAAAAGGCATTGTTCCATAATAATATCTACTAATTAAAATTATAATATAAGCAAGGCTAACTGGAAATACTAATTATATGTATTTGCCTTTAGCTCATTTTTTTCCCCAAAAAATTCATGTAATGCTCTGATGTCATTTACATGTTGAATCTGGTTTGTTTTTGGTTAGATCGTGTATCTTTACGTCTTTTTGCCACTTTATACTGGAATAACACCATCTCATGGACTTGTGAGAATGGAAAAGCAAATATATTATTAGATTTCAGTTACTCATGTTATATTCTTCAAGTGAATTGGCTCATATTTATTGGAGGGCCATTTAGATCATCTGTATGAATCTTTAAAGTTTTAATTTATATTTCAAGCAGATGTGCATTAAATTTGTGCTATAATTTTATGACAAATAATTTGTTGTATTCTTTCTCCCCATCCCTTTTTGCATTGTCTCTGATGGATAGAGAGAAATCCTGATGGTAAGTGAAAAGATAATTTAGAACAAAATGAATTTCAGAAATGAAATTTGGTTGGTAATTGAACTGTGGTATTATCCCTTGAGTGAATTCTTTTTAGGGACTGCTGTTTTGACTCTAGCAACCTCTTTAGGGTGATTCAGTGCCTTGATTTGGCTACAGAGAAGACAATAGATGTTTCCATAATAGATATTTGTCATTCATTATTAGTTGTTTCAGAGTCATGAGAAACAATGAAACTTCATGACATTTTTGAACAAAACCAAAGGTGTCATTGACTACTTATGTCTGTAAGTTACTCGTGATTTGCCTGTATGCTCTGTTATCTTAGCTTACTTAAAAAGAGTAAGGAAAACAATTCTGAATTCTAAATTGTCTGATTCTGTATACCCCAAAAGACTCACCCCTTTGTCTGATCAGAATGCCATGTGTACTCAGTCTATGGGCCTATTCCTTGTTTTGAATTTGAATTTGTGGGGAAATATTATCAAGAATCTGACCCTTGAACTTGCCTGGGTCAGTGTTGTCACTGTTTTGTCTTCTCCAAATCCTTTGTTTATGACTTTGCTATAATACTTATCATAATATGAATTTCATTGTTTGTTCCTTAGGTCTCCCTAGTAGATTTCTGAGCTCTTTGAGAGCAGGGTTCAAGTCCTTGAATTGTGCAGTATTCTAAATTATATGGGAGATTATATGGGAGACACTCTAAAAGTATCTTCTGCTTTGATTATTTTTCTTTCTAGACACAGACTTAATGGGATGGTTTTTCTTAGTTTATTAGCCATTGTAAGATTAATATTAGATAATATTAATTGGTAATATTAGATAAATAAAATACTTAATGGCCTTATTTATTCATATAGTTGTGGTGGTACCAACAACCTCAATTGCACAGTGTCTGGAAGGTGAAAATATATTTATATGAGAAATATTTTAATAGAAGTAAGCTTTTAGCTTGCATAAAGTGTACTTTTCAAATTAGAGTTTGGGTTATTAAAAATATTAGTAATTAATATTTACATTACTTTGCAAGATTGCATGGAACTGATAAGATTTTGCAATAACTTTTAGAAAATTCTGTATTATTATTTAAATTATTTTGAGTTTTAAAAAAATTCTGTAAAGGTTATTACTGAAAGTAATTTATTCCCTTTTACTATAAATTCAGATCAAACTATGAGAAAAAAATCACAATATATGGAAATTTCAGTATTTCAATGCAAAGCTAAAGCCAGTTTTAATAATCTCTTATGCTATATTTAAAAATTTTAATTAAGCTTCAGGAGTAGAGTTGAAATATTCAGGTTCACCTAGTATGCAAAAAACAATATGTTGCCATTTAGATCTTACTTATACACAAAGCTTCACATTTCAAAGACTGTTCCATTTTATTGACCTGATCTGTTCAGACTGTATTGCAGATAAGCAGTCCTGCTTTTCAATGTGGAAAAAGAGAAGCAAATGAGGTTTTATGTTGTCCCATAAGAATTAGTCTCCATTATTTCTGCATTAAAGTTACATGACTTGGGCAGTGTAAAACATGACTGCAGATGGAGCACAGTACGTAGCCAGACATAACAGGAAGGGATCAAGGAAGTTCTGGCTACCAGACTTGCTACTGCTTTCGGGCCCCTTGTTTTCAATACGAAATGACTCTAGCAGGCCCCTGGAAAGAGTTCTAAAGGCATCATATAGATGTGTAATATATAGTTATTCTACTCTGGTATATAATTTCTTCTTTCTTTTTTTAAAGCACATTTTGGCTCCCCTCTCGACAGTGATACTGGTCTCCTGGGTGTGCCAGGGGTAATTAGAATTCTCTTCCTCGAAAAACTGTTCTGTCAGGAGTGATTTTGATGTGAATTTTGTCTCTAAGTGTTACATAATTTTGTGATTAATTGCACCCTAGTACTTGTGACTATCCATTTCCTCAAGTAAGCTAGCAGGGGAAGTATTTGAAGGAGAAGTGATTATATTTGTTAAAAACCTGTAGAACAAAGTCAGTCTGATGAGTGAATAGGCCAATATTTGCGTATTACAAATGACCAAATTTTCTTCTCTCTCAGCATTATACTCAGAGAGTTGAATAAGCCAAATAGCCTGTTTTGCCAACTAAATATTGCTGATGGTAGACAATTAGGGCAAGTTAGGCTCTTTCAACTAAGCTGAAAGCTACCCTACTAGCAACTTTGGAAAGCCTTCAAATACATATAATTTTTTCCTTTCCTTATTACCCTCACACATACCTCTACACATCTTCGGCTTCAGGTTCTTAGGTGCAATTATAGCCTGAAGAGTAATTGGCAGACAAATTTACATTTCAAGTTTCTTAAGAAAATGTAAACCTCAATAGTAATGTGCCTCTGATAAACCCCATGTTTAAATACTAGACATTATATTTTGAAATGTTTAGGTTTTAATTTGATGGGAAGTATTATAAAATACTGGCTTTGTAATTTTTCTTTTAAAGATTTTGTTTCCTTAAACTTATTTCTAAAGGATTTCATATTCTTTTTTTCTTCCCTGATGGTAAAACTTCTCAAGCTGCCATCATTTAAAAAACAGCCATAATCATTTTATTAAGTATGTGTCATCATTTTTCAAAGTAATGTTTTCCAAATGTCCTATGAAACAGGTTTACAATTCTTGGAGAGAAAAGAAATTCTGGAGGGGTTCTACAAATCTTAGCAACTGCTGACCATTGCCCTAGTGTGTGATATTGTCATTAACTGACTTAACTGAACTGTGAATTGAGTTATAATGTATTACCCTTTTTGGGTTTATTAGTGCTTGCAATCCATTTGTTTCAATTTCTAAAAACATGTATATACTACTAGTTTCTTTAGCTCTGGGTTCTTGGAGATTTAGGGCAATAATCTTCAAATATATATAAGTAATGTAAAGCTAGCGTTGATCATGATTAATTTTGTTTTACCACAAATTCAATCAGTACCTGGTCCAAGTGAAGCTGAGCCACAGTTTTAGCAGTATAATTTTAGAAGAGTATTTACAGTTAAATTTTATTTGAACAATTAGCTCAGATTTGGTTGAAAGTACATAGATGATAGCTTTTCTTTGTGCATGTACAGAATTGTCAGAAGATGAAGTGTTTTTTTCCCCATTATTCTATTCATTTAAAATGGAGGAAATGGAAATAGGCTACAGTTTCCTGGTTTTTTCCAGATTGCATCTATTAATTGAGGCTGTAATTTATATATTGTAGAGGAAGCATACTAGTAGGTATATTTTCATAATTTGGGGATGTATGGAATATATGAAGTTGGAAAGAATAATACTTTGTAATTTTTTTATGGTGATATTGATAGTTGTGGTTTGAGCAGTAGCTTAGATCATGTTACCATAATATTTTGAGTCAAAACATTTCATCACTGTTAAGTACAAATTCACATGCCTCTAAAACCTCACAAAATGTCAGGAAATAATACCCTGGGACTTTTCTGAAGAGACACCAGTTATAATTTGCATCTAGGATTCCAGGAGAAGTGAATTTAACATCTGTTGGTTATGAGCAAAAAATGAGCTATGTAAAATTTGATGGATAATAGATTATATTGAAGAGAATGACAAATACGCTCCACATGCCCTGAAAAAGTATTTAATTGACCTCATATATCAATATGTTTGCCATTTTTGATGATCTCTCACTATCCTTGTGAATAAGTAGTACTGAAAAGTGTACTCCCAGCTTGGTTGTAGAATAAACCACACAACTCCAGTTGGCATTAACAAAATATATTGCTAATTCTAGGAATCCTACTTTGGGATCATGTCTCCAAACTTTCCTTCTTCTGCTTTCCTATTTTTAACCTGCCCTCTGACTCCACTGTAAAGAAATAAAGGAATTAAAGTGTGGATCCATTAGGTAGAATAGAACATTTTAAGTCTTCCCTTTCTCTATAGTAGTTTACTAAGATATAGGTTTCTGTATATTATTTTTTTATCCTATCCAGTCAAATATAGAATCCTAGATTAAAAGGAGAGAAAACTAAAGTTGTAGAATTGCTTTACTTGATTTATTAGTAGAGAGCCTAGTTTGCTTTGGTTTCAGTTTCATTTTTTATAAAAATATTAAAAGGAATGGCTTTTAAAAACTTTAAATTCTGTTATAAAAATCTTCATTGTTATTTATTCATGAAATTGCCTATTTCAATATGCCTCTATACTTTCTGAAAAAATTTGAGAATTGAATGACTGTGTAAACCTTTCAAAATGCTGTTTAAAAGTGATACGTAAAGTTAAATGAATTGGGAAAAATTAATTTGTATGAAAGTAATATTCTTAATGTTGATGTGTAAAATGACATGAAGTTTATTAGAACTTCAGTAGGACAAATTCTGCTTTCATGCTCATAGTTTATTGCAAATTGTTAATTGTACTTTGAATCTTCAGTAAATAAAAGAGCTAAAGATTAAAAGATTGGGGAGATAGAGAAATGATTAGATGTGGTCATACAGAGTATTCCTGATATAAACTTCATATTCTTTGTTCATTTCAGCTGATAGTCTTGCATTAGGACTAGAGGTTTGAAGGTCTTCATAACAGTTTAGTAATTGAATATAACTGCATATAATGTTTTATATAACATTCAACTGTGAATTTTTAAAAATGATATTATTATTAAAGGCAGAGCTTACACTTATGCTCCTTTTTAAGATTTTATTTTTGCCTTGTACCTTTGGATAATAATATAAAAACATAAATTATGGTAATGCTTTCCAGTTATTTCAGTTGTGCTAGATGAAATGGTCAGGTAGCAAACATTTAAACTAAGATATGTTGTTACCATGTACTACAATTAGTGAAATAGTACAGTTTTTTCCTTATTTGTCAAATTTACGAGTATATATTTCTCTCTTTTTAATTTCAGGCATTCCTCGAGTTAGCCAATGTAAGTTTAGACTTCCTCTGAAATTAGTCTGCTTACCAGGCCAGCCTTCAAAAACTGCAAGCCACAAGCTAACTATTGATACCAACAAATCTCCAGTCAGTCTTCTCAGTCTCTTTCCAGGTAGGACTTTTGAAGTAACATGCCTGTAACATCAGAAATGTTAAGAATTTAGAATGGAATCCTTCATCAACAGGTAATGATAGGGTAATTATCAGATAATTGTTAAGTCAGAGTATAAAAATACCTCAAGGGTTTTTTCCTCTTGTTTGCCTGTTCAAAGGCGAATGGCTTATATCAACAAGGTAATAAAGTGCACCTTTTAAGTTTGATTAAAATTATTATAATCATTATTTTGCTTCGGAATACAGAAATGAAGACATCAAATGTTTCTTTTTAGACCGTGGGATTTTTTGGGCTTGGAATGTAAATATTTATTATTCATCTTTACTGTAGGTTTTTGAATATATCCCTTTTCTAAGGATGTAAATATTTATTATTCACCTTCATTGTAGGTTTTTGGAGATGTACCTTTTAAAAGTATATTCTTATGCCTCTGAAAAGTAATCTCTTAAGTAGGTGTTTGTGATTCCGCTGTCTTCAGCAGTTGGAAGGGACAGGGTTCATTCTCTGCCTCTGATGTTTTAGAAGGGGTTTCATGTATAAAGCTTGAACATCACAGTGAACATTTGGGGTAATTTGTGAAGGTGTGACTTTCTCCAGGTGTTGGTTTTTCTGTTTTGAGTAAGTTAGAAAAGAGAGAAGCATTGATTGGATCAAACATCTTTAGTTGCCAGGGTTTCTAATGTGTCACATCTATTAAGTTTCTCGGTGATGAAGTGGAATTAAAAAAATATCTGGGAATTAAATCAACCCTTTTAAATCCATAAATTCAGCACTGTTGACTGTAAGATGCATCTTCACCCTTGCATTAGTGGATAGGATTTAGAATACAAAGTATTTCCCACAAGGTTTAGAAATTTATGGTAAGTCAACTTTTGTGTTATTAACTACTTAAAGTGATTAACATTTACTTTTCATTAATTTGAAGTCTTTCTTAAAAGCCTTATTTATATATAACTATGAAAAATCTCCAAGATGCTCTTTATTACACTTAATCTATTCTTTAGTTCAGATGAATTTGAGTGAATGAGCATGTGTGTGTGCTTGTGTGTCTGTAGTTAACAAGTAGTTTTGTGTCTTTTGATTTCTTATTCCTTTCCCTTCACTTTCTTCTAGTCAATTTTCTTGTATTAAAGTTGGATTATAAAAAGGGCAGAGCCACTGCTTTTGTAACGTCTTATACAAGCATACTAGTTCCTTGCTCTCCTATCCTGACAATATAAATTGCATATGCTGCATGCTAAATTTATTAATATCTTTGAAAAATGTTTAAGACTGGCTTCTGAGTGGTCGATCTTTACTGTAGATGGCTGAAACCAATAGAAATTAAATAAGGATGCATGCTTTTCATCAGAGAAGGAGCCTCTGTAAGCTCTGGTTGGATAGAAGTACTAAGGAAAGCTTAGATAACTCATTCATTTCTGTCCTGATTCTGGACTTAGTTGTTTTGATGTTTCGTAGGTTCATCAGCGTGTATTTGCATCTTATTCATTTTAACAGTAAGACTCAATGACAAATTTTTAAAAATTTCCCCTAAGATTCAGTTTATGAATACAGCATGTTCTCTTTTGAATTTCCAGATTTGTATTCATATTAAACATACTGGAATCCTGTAATTATTTAAAATAAATACTTTTGCTACTTTTTTACTTTTCATAATATATTCATTTTTGCTATATGTGACTTTTATATGTTGATATTAAAGTTGCTATTGCAAGTTTATTTTTTAATGGAAATAAACGAATGCTCTTCATAGAAAAGAAATAAAACAACTTTTAGTCTACATCTCTTCCTATTTGTTTATTTCAGTACTTTTTTGTATATTTAAAATAGCTTTAATTTTTCTGGTTACAAAAGATTTCTGAAGTTTATCAATGGATAACCAAGAAGAAAAAAACAAAAGTTACTGATAATTCTACCACCCAGCAGTATCTACTTATGTTTCATTATATTTCCGTACTCTTTTAAAAAATATTTTCTCTAAGCATTTCATCCCGCCAAAGAATATTACTTTGCATATTGTTATGAAACATTTTTCTGTGTAATTAGATTTTTGTTTTATGATTTTTAATAATTGCATGCTATTCTATCATAAATCTGTACTATAAAATCATTTGCCCAGCATTGTAGTTTTCAACATTTATGTTGTTTTCAGTTTATTAATACTGTAAATATATTACATCAGTGATTCTCTAAATTTGTTATTATTTCTTTGATGATTATCTAAAAGCAGAATTACAGAATCCACCAAAGAGTAATGTTTTTAAAGCTTTTGAAACGTAATGTGAAATTGACTTTCTGAAGGGCCATACTAGTTAACTTTATCAACAGTGTTTGAATGGAGATGTCTAGTGCCCCAAATCCTGGCTAGTAGAGAATATTCTAATTCTAAAAAACTTTAATATGCTTAATGGCTATACAGAAAATATTTACATACATCAGTTCAGTTCAGTTCAGTTGCTCAGTTGTGTCCAACTCTTTGTGACCCCATGAGGCATGCCAGGCCTCCCTGTCCATCACCAACTCTCGGAGTTTACTCAAACACATGTCCATCGAGTCGGTGATGCCATCCAGCCATCTCATCTACATATACATAAATAATTGTCTGGATGATTTTGGCTAAATGTGATTTAAGCAAGATAATATAAATTTCTTGATCTTGATTAAAGAGAAGTCCAGAAGTGGGTATGAAAGCTGGTATGATGCTTTGTGAATATTATCAAAGACCCAGTTTATTTTCTCTTTGCAATGTGCATTCTCTAGTATGTTGGCTTCTTCCATGGCAATAAGATAGCTGCTTTGCATTTGTTGTTGTTTAGTCGCTAAGTCATGTCCAATTCTTTGCGACCTCATGGACTGCAGCAAGTCAGGCTTCCCTGTCCTTCATTATGTCCTGGAGTTTTTCAAATTCATGTCCATTGAGTCAGTGATGCTATCTAACTATCTCAACCTCTGCTGCTCTTGCCTTCAATCTTTCCCGGCATCAGGGTCTTTTCCAATGAGTTGCCTCTTCGGATTAGGTGGGCAAAGTGTTGGAGCTTAGCTTCAGCATCAGTCTTTCCAATGAATATTCAAGGTTGATTTCATTTTGGATTGACTGGTTTGATCTCTTTGCTGTCCAGGGGACTCTCAAGAGTCCTTTCTAGCACCACAATTCAAAAACATCAATTCTTTGGTGCTCAACCTTCCTATGGTCCATCTTTAAAAATGGCAACTCACTCCAGTACTCTTGCCTGGAAAATACTATGGACGGAGGAGCGTGGTAGGCTACAGTCCATGGGGCTGCAAAGAGTTGGACACGACTGAGCAACTTCACGTTCACTTTCACTCACATCCATACTTGCCTACTGGAAAAACTGTAGCTTTGACTATACCACTTTGTTGGCAAAGTGATGTCTTTCCATTTTAATATGCTGTCTATGTTTTTCATAGCTTTCCTTCCAAGGAGCAAGCATCTTTTAATTTTGTGGCTGCAGTAACTGTCCACAGTGATTTTGGAGCCCAAGAAAATAAAATCTGTCATTGCTTTCACTTTCTCCCCTTCTATTTGCCATGAAGCGATGGGACTGTATGCCATGATCTTAGTTTTTTGAATGCTGAGTTTTTAGCCAGCTTTTTCACTCTCCTTTCACTCTCATCAAGAGGCTGTTTTTTCCTCCTCATTTTCTGCCATTAGAGTGCTTAAGTCATCTAACTACAAGGCAGGAAGTAGAGGAAAGAGATAACTATGGCAGTAACTGTTAACTTTTATCAGAAAGGCATGTTTCCATAAAGTTCATAGCAGATTTCTACTTACAGCTCAGTAGCCATAATATTGTCACATGGCCTCTTCTACAGTAAAGGTGACTGAGAACTAATGTAGATGGGCTTAGAAAAAGGAGGTTGGGAATAGATGTTAGGTTAGCTGACATTCAGTGTATGTCATGATACCAGAAATTTTACAGAAAAATTTTACTTAAATGTTATAACAAATAGCATGCTATTGTAGCAGTCTTTTATGGTACTCAAATATATGGCTATCTTTGTTTGTGAATAAATTTGTATTTTAATATTAATGTAATATTCTATTGTTTCCCTCGTGGTTCAGATGGTAAAGAATCTGCCTGCAATGCAGGGGACCTGGGTTCAATCCCTGGGTTGGGAAGATCCCTTGGAGAAGGGCAGGGCATACCACCCCAGTATTATTGTCTGGAGAATTCCACAGACATAGGAACCTGGTGGGCTTCAGTCTATAGGGTCACAAAGAGTCGGAAACGACTGAGCATCTGTCACTTTCTGTTGTTTGGAGGTACCATGTATATAGCTTTTTTGTACTTCTCTGTTTCTATTTGGAGGAATTCCTTGAGGATAAATGGCTGAGTTAAAGGATATGCACATTTGAAAGCTGTATTCTAATACCAAAGTTATTTCCAGAATAATTATATGAAGTTACACACCCAGTATCGGGGTTTGTACCGAGTTGCAGCTGGATTTAAATCTTTTAAAATTTTTGACATGGTTATCTGAAAAGTGGCATCTCTTTTTAAAATTTGCATTTCTAAATTATTTGTTAGCATAGAAATTTTGTAATTTTTATTTATTACTTGTGCTCTTTTAACATATAAAGTTTTTATTTTTAGGTAGTAAAATTTAAAGTTTCATTTATTTTTTTAGTTTCAAGTTTTCATGTTGTGCTTGGAATGATCTCTATTTTAAGATTATAAAATATTTACTTATCTTTCTTCTGGTACATTTTAATATCTTCTTTAATTCTCAGACACAGTTTCAGTGTATTTTTTTTATAAACAACTTTATTAGAGTATAACTTATGTACACATGTATAAAGTGTACAATTTGGTAAGTTTTGATGTTTATGTATACCTTTGAAACCATCCCTACAATCATGATGCTGAAAGTATCCATCACCCCAAAGAGTTTCTTTGTTCTGCTTTGTTAGCCTTTCCCCTCCATCCCCAGGCAATACTTGTTTCCCTTCTGTCACTATGGGTAAGTTTGTGTTT